ACGGTATTCACAAGCACCTCCGTCATTCACTTGAGTCAAAAACCTTTTCTTTTGACTTCAACACCAGTCGGAATCTCAAAATCACAAGTAGGAACAACCAGCTCAGTACTGCCGTGCAAGTTCTCTAGCATACAGGGAAAGTCTACCGNCACCTTATATCTTGGGGCGCGTTGCTGACGCTTTCGCAGATGAACGCGCGGCCCTGGAGTCCCGAAGCACAATACCTGTTTTGCCCGAGAAGCTGCCGCATGTGCAGCTAAACGCGCGGTGGTCGCTAGTTTTGGCTTCTCTACACAGGAAAACGTTACATAATAAGCAAAATCACATATGAGCGGATCTCCTGCAAGATTATCTGACGCCCGCGGGCCTCGGTAGCCACCGACAGCACTGACCATCTGGTCAGTGCATTGCTTACTCTAGGCTGAACGCCAAGTTTATAGGCATAGCCACCAAGGCAGAGGCTGCCCACCTACGTCAGCCACATAGAACCGAGGAACCTCCGTGGCTGTCCAGTATGGTGCAGTAACCTGGCTTGCGTGGGCATTGGCTATGCAAAATCACACCACTGCATGCGGGGGGCTCAATAGACAAGCCAAACCGTGCTTGAAGAATCACATGCTTTCCCGGGGCCTTTCTATCGTCTGCTCATAGCAAGGCGAACCTGACCTTTAATGGCAATGTTGCTTGGCCTTGAACACGAACACGGTGAATGCCGACAAGTCCCAGATGTCTCAAGTACTCTAGTGACTCTCTAGGTTGTAGCGCCCTTTCGACGTATGTACGAGCACAGGCCTCCCTCGTAGCAGCTATTATTTCCTCGCCGCCCCTTGTGCAGATGTGTGCCCGACGCCTGGGAGGTACCATTTGTTCGCCAATCCCACTGCCTAGGGTATGGGAATATAACGAAGTCTATCCTTCTCCCGGCGCCTTTAGAGCGGGGACTGACGCTTGGCCGCATCAACCGATTCGGCTGTCATAATCGTAAGGCCCCGGCCATCGGTAGATGCGGCCAAGGGTCACTCTCCGCTCTTACGCAGCGTCGACGACCCAACGGCATGTACGACTGCGCAGAGCGGCGGGCTCCCTACAGATTTTCAGGGAATAGTTGAGTCATGCGTGCCTTACTAATGAGTGTAAGCATGTCGTGTTTAGAGGGATTACGGAGGCAGGAATCAACATATCTCTGAATCACTTGCCCGACAGCTGTATTCACGCGCTGTGTTTGACTGTCGTTCTGTTGATGATACTCCGTGGATATCACGCCTGGAACATTAGGGCCCTTGCAGTATTGGTACCAGAGCTGCATGTAGATAGCTGCTCTCCGTCGTTCGCGATTGCGTCAGGGATATTGTGTCGTTCAAGAGATTCCAGCTGTAGCTAAATGGCCTGCAACGTTGGGAGTGCTTTGACGACTGACATGAAACATCAGATCGTGCTGAGCAATGAAGCATGACATCCTCCAGGGCAACTCCGCGATTGTCGATACCCCGCTGTGGCAAGCTTTTCACAGGGGCAACGCAGTTGTGCCGGGGAGACACTGTTCCAACGCCCTAGACCTATGATGCGCAGTCGCTTCGCTAACTCAGAGCTTTGGATGAACGGCAGTATCCATAGGAAGTCTGATGTGGCCTGCTGCGGGCACTGCCTGCACCAGGCGCCACCAGAGTCGCTATAGGTACGCGCAGCCGCCCAGTAGCAATACCGGCGCCGGTCATCATACATATCGGTCCTGTCCAGTCCAGAAACCATTGTACCGGCTGCAAACGAGTCGCACCCTTGAACGTACACGACCCGAGCTCACGTGCCATCGCCTTCCGCGCGCTGAAAGAAGGCGATGTGGTCGGTGGAAACGTGCCTTCGGTGCGACCCAGTCTGCCTCCGCACTTTCGGGAAAGTCCGCGGCGGAAGCAGCCGACCGTGCGACAGTGAAGATGAGAGCTTCCCGTCTCGCAGAAGGCTGTGCATTATAATGGTGACGCCTCCGTAAAATGGGAAGCATGTAGAGAATCAGCAGAGAGGAAGGATACGCAGATGGGGGAACCCAATGAACTAGGGGTAACACAAAAAGGAATTGATCAATTGTTGAAGCAGTACAAAGCGGTTAGGCCATCATTATGTTGCCCCGCATGGCAACAAGTAGAATATTATGCACGACTAATCCCCATTAACCAACTTCGTGATCTGCTGCATGTGTTCTGCACGCGGGTCAGCGCATATCGAGGACGGCACTAACCTCACAGGCAGAGGTAGGGGCAAGAGCGGGCAATGGCCCTACGGAGTTTTGGCGGGAATCGTGTAGGGGCCAAATCGAGGAACATTATGCAGTGAACTGATAATACGAGTAGGGGCTAAGGGCCGAGTTCTCTGCTGCTAGCTAGCCCACCCACTCATCGAACACGGTGTACTCCAACCTTGAGGTAGGGTACGGTGTCCGCTCGTCATCAGGAACCAGATTGCTGCCAGCAGTGTTGCGATGTAGCGCTACAGAAGCAGGAGAGAAGGGGGAATCGACGCTACTATGCGCGAACGCGCATAGGAGAAGACCTGGCCTCTGCGGCTCAGGGGCAGCTACCACTGCTGGTTATCAGGAGAGGCCTGACGGCGCTAAGAGCGTGACGAGGGCAGTTTAGTTGCGCTGCACTGTTCTGTGCATGCCCACCGAAGTTTTTGGGGGGAAACTGCAAATTTCCTAGATTATACCGATTGGATGCAGAGTGTGTTGAGGGTACTGGCTCATATCCTTCATTGCTGAGACCGTTCGTACCAACGCCCTCTCTGGATGCTCCACAGGGAAGGTGAATTTGGTGTCCAGCAAGTAATCGGCGAAGGACGGGTGAATGCAGTGATTGCTGACTGGCTGTAGTGAACACTCCCTACAATCACGGCAGCAATGCCGTGCTCGTTGTGAAGTGAGTGAGGATTGTATGAATAGTGAAAGTGACTGTGAGTTCT